CTGTAGTGTCTGTAGTGTCTGTAGTGTCTGTAGTGTCTGTAGTGTCTGTAGTGTCTGTAGTGTCTGTAGTGTCTGTAGTGTCTGTAGTGTCTGTAGTGTCTGGGGCGTTTCTGCCAGTGGTGAATTGTACCAACCTATGGTGGTATTGAGTCTACACGTAATAAAATTCTCTCTTGTTCAAAGCAGCTTCTTGTATGTATGAATCGAAGAGTAGCCCATGAACAGGAGGTCTCCATGGAAGAAAAACTTACGGCTACAATTTAGCAAGTTTGATGTATAAAGTGTACATTTGAAGCTCCATGGACACCCTGTTTGGAATACTGGTGGGTGGATCTCGTGGTACCCACCTTGCTGGTTCTTACTAGTGTTGAAATTGTATGATATGATTCAACAATGTTAAAATAAGGGAAGGAAGTTATATTTTCGATATGCAACTAATTCATCTCCAACATGCCCTAGCCTCCTTAAACAGTGAATGTAGAAAGAAGCTGTCTATCTAGTTGATGGCAGTGAGTAGTCCAGCAATTTGCTGGATTCGTCTACACAGTTTTGCGACTTTAGCCTGAACTTATACAATCTTCATAGATCATTGGACTTACATATATGGATATCATTGTCAATAGATTCTGTTGGTTTAGTTACATTGACCTTAACCCCCTCTGACAGTTATATGCTGGAATTCTCTGGGCAGTGTTTGGGACAAGAACAACATAAATCCAGAAGATACCAGGACAAATCGGTCATCTGAATTTCCACAATAACATCGAGTCTAGAACCTGAGAGGTCATCGAGCGACTGCTTGTTGCAATCCCCCAGGCAACTTGAGTAACAGCAGTACTTCCCTCTGACTGAGTGAATGAACGAGCCCCTTCATTCTCTCCTCACAACCTGTCTCTTGACACTGACCACCTCTTTTTTTCTACAACACCCTCTATTCTACCTCTAGTTCCCTCCTCACCACTGTATCACCTACACCATCCGATTACATCCTCACGTACAAAGCAACAACCAAGCAACGACTTAGACCTACTATCTACTCTGATCAAAGTAGCCTTAGTGCTTACTCCCAATCAAAATGCCCATAAATTGGACTGATCCGCAGGCTGATGCCAAAGTGAGCCCGCCGATTTCCCATCCCTTATCTCCGTAAGAAGCTTTTGAGGAGACTAATCAGACGTTATATACAGCTGCTGGTCGGCATCGTCACTCTCAATAATGCCAAGCTCGATTACAAAGCCTTGGCCGAATTTATGGGTCAAGGTATGTTATACTTCCCCAACCTGTCCAAGAACACAAGAACTAAGCCAAAATGCAGGCTGCACAGCCAGTGCCATTCAGCATAGAGTCCAGCGTATCAAGGACAAAGTCCGTAATGGCTCTCCCGTGGAAGGCACTGCTGCGGGCACATCTCCTGGCTCTGCTCAGCAGGGAGAAGGCAGTGCTTCCGATCTGTCTCCCACGAAGCGCAAGAGAGGAAGACCGGCAAAGCGAGGTGCAACGGGCTCCCCTACCAAGAAGCATAAAGCCGTCGTTGAGAATGACTCTGCTTAGGGCTGTGGATGACTTCCTGACTATCTCATGGATATCTGGGAATGCGGACAGATAGGCTTTTGTATCCTCTGGGAATATGGACGCGACCATTGATCCTGAATGGTTAGCGGATGGGTAGTTTGAACTATGATGGCATCTCTTAGTAGTTTGCTCTGTTGAAATCGAAGGATATTCCAGATTATGTGCCTGCTTGTTCTCATTCTTCTCTCCCCTTTTTTGGTAAGCTACGACTTTTACGGTTTTATGGCTGCATTTTCTACACATTCATGGTGGACATAGAACTAAGCAATGTTTAACATTCCCGTGATAATTGAAGTACTGTAACTGCCAAACCCCGTAAATGATTCAAACCCCGTGCTTGATCCGCAAAACTATCAACCATGAATCTCGGCTACGCATTGAGCACCCGCAAGGATGGAAACAAATCCGTCAAAAGATCAAGCCATCAAGAGATCCTCCTCCACCTTAGCCGATCCTTCAGGGAAATACTCCGAAATCTCACTGTCCACCTCAGACTGGCTATCCTCCTCGCCATAGGTACTAACCATACCAGGAGGAAGAACGCTGGCCCTACGGACACGCTTCGAAGGAGACTCATCATCCAAAAAACATCATTATCATCCACTGGCTCGGCCTTAAGCGGAACATCGACGTGCTCCTGTTTCACGCCAGCAGAAGCAGGCCGGAGCGTCTCTGTTCCCAGAGTCCCTTCCCCTTCCTGCTTAACAAGCACATCCCCATCATCACCAAAAGCGTTATCAGGTGTAGAGACATTCCTACGCTTGCCAGAAGTCGGAGTCTTAGGAACTGCCGTCGCACTCTTGCCTCTCTTACGGGGAGTCGTCGAAGCGCTGCTGGGGTGGGTACCGGCTCCCCTTCCGATACTGAAGTGGCCATCGGTGCCGTTGTTGGCTGCCTTCACCATTTGGCGCATTTTGACCAGACGTTCGGTGATGGCTCGGGGGGTGGGTCGGTTGTTGGAGTCTGTGCCGGCTATTCAAGTTTTGCGCTTTTAGTATACACGTTATCGATGCTGTTGAGGTTTGGGTGAGAACTTACGCCAGGCTTCGGCGACCTTTTTGGTATCGACGGATAGATCATGAGTTTCCAGGATCTTCAGGAGAAGCTGTGATTGTTAAGTCTTTTCTTGGTTTCAAAGCTGTTGGAAGTGTGGTCTTACAAGCTGGTCGTTTTCGGGAGTCCAACGCATGGGCATTTTGATGCCTTAGTAGAGATTGCTTCGAAGTTGGGTATGTGAGCTGAGTTGTGAGGTCGAGAGTAGGGCACAAGTGTGTGCTTGGGTGAGAAGGGCTGGGTACTAGTAGAGGAGTAGGAGAAGGAAATGTGAGAGAGGAGCTGTAAAAGAAGAGTAACAGAAGAGTGCAAGAGGGCAGAGAGAAGCAAGGCCAGGTATAGTGACGAGGCTCAGTGACCTGTGAGTGAATGAGCAACTTGATGAGACGGTTTTCCTGTTTCTGAGTTGAATTGAACCCTGGTCAGTGAAGGACTGCTGACGTATCTGATGATTCGGCCTCCAAGTATCTTCAATGCTTTGACCAATACTGTCACCCCATCCAAATCCACGGCCTAGAGAAGTGACTTGTGGATTCAGCTCGACGTTTCTGAGAAGCCCAAGCGATCCGCTCAGCATTCACTTGCTTGGATATCCCTTTTTTCCTACTCTGGGCCATACCATTGGCTATCTTTGATCAGATACAGCCGTTGCAATTCCTTCACCAACGTCTCCTTTGACAACTCTTTTCCAGAGCTTCGAGAATCTTTTGCAGTACTGCATGCCCTCTATTGGACTAGTCTGTGGAAGCAATAATTCACTATTGGTCCTTGTGATCATTCTGGTTGAAAGGACTCCTAGGAGGCTTCTCTTCATTTCAAGAGCTGTCTCTACAAAATTTAAGTAAGCTGAACATTTCTTCCTCTACTTCAAGTATTCTCGACTAAAGCTTCCGTCTTGCCCACAACAAAGCAAAGTTGATCTTTCATGTGTGAAGAACTGCCTGGACCTTACGCAAATCCAATCTACCTACCTTCATTCTCCTCTGGGGCCAACCTCTAATCTTCATCATCAACACCACCTCCCACATCACTTCAAATATCTCATCAACATGGTGGTGAACTGGAAGAACCATGAGAGCACCGACCGTCTCATTGCATCTATACTTGCAGCCCACCCAGATCTCAAGGTATCCCTCGTCCTCCTCCTAATACGACTCCACTGCACCCCAAGTACTAACTTCCAAAAACAGCTTGACTACCACGCCATGGCACTCGTTTTCGGACAAGGAGCGACATACGACTCGATTGAGGGGCGATTCCGCCGCTATCGCAAGATAGCAGACGAGCTGAGAGACGAAGCCCACAGCCGTGGCATCACCGATATCCCCCGCTATGCAGGGCGCAACCATGCGTCTGGTGGAAGCTCCGCCTCCACCCCTAGAACTCCTCGAGGCCCACGAGGCGGCATCACCAAGAGCACCCCGTCATCCAGCAGGAGCAGGAATTATCGCCACACCCAGACCCCAACCAAGCGGAAGACCAAGCCTGGTAGGTCTGTCATGGATGCTATCTATGTTGACGATGCCGACACAGAGGGAGAGTCGAAGATTAAACCTGAAATTCCTGGTGATCCTTCTGACAGCGGGGACGACGATGTCAAAGTTGTTGACTCTCCTAGCATGAAGGTTAAAAAGGAAATAGTTGAGCACAATATGGCTGGTATCTTTTCTCCCATAATTCCCAAAAAGGAGGAAGAAACTAGTGTCTTTGGGTCCAAAGCTGTGTCGACTCGTGCACGTGGTATTCAGGGTCATGACAATGGAGCCTGTTACCCTGCTGGGATGGATGAGGATCCATCATATATGGTTGATAGTTACTTCGAAGGTGGCAGCATGGACGATATTTACCGCGGAGCAGTTTAGGTTCTCTTCATATATGCTCTGCCATCAGCCCTTGTTGATGGAGGTTATGTGCACCAGTTCCATGAAGTCATGATCTGGATTTCTCTTTACATTCTACATAAAACGTCTGGTGGGATCAATCTGATGTAAGTAAGACATGCGGTTTATACGATTGTCACACTGGCTGACATGTCTCAGACAGGAACTATGAGTAAGAAGAACCAAATTTTCCATTCCAGTCATCGCTATTGGATTCGGTTGAAAGATACACACCAAAAGATATGTAGATAATGCTAATCTCAGGATAAAAATAAAACCGAAATAAATGAGTTTCTGTCCCAAGCGGCTGGTTCTTGACTTACCTTGTCGGTCACTATCTAATTTAACCAATCCACACAGCATTGAATTGGAACTCGACATTCTTTAAACGGTCGGGCAGCCTTCTTGTTTGATTCTTACTGCCACATACTGGAGGAGGGGGTGCTATATACTTTCTAACAAGTACACGTTCATATTTTGGCTCCCTTGGCACGGGCTCGAAGCTCCGAAACATATACTACATGGTTACTCAACGCGAGGATATTACCTTCTTCATCGAGAATCTGGATGTTGACGTCGTACCGGCCATTGGCAACCAAATGCGAGTTTGATCGAATCATGACCCACTGCGTAGATGGATCTGGACGCTTTTTGAATTCCACTGTCATACACAGCGTGGATAACGCATACTTGAAGTAGAACCCTGCTTGGTGCGTTGCAGCAGGTTGCAGGGGCTACCTCAACCGTCAGATACTGCCAGTTATATACGTTCGATATGGAGGGTGCGCGGCCGCTTACCATGTCTGACAACAAAGCCAGATGAAGATGGTCGGAGATATTAGAGCCATCCCGGAATGACACCCATACCTCGCGGTGATGACCCCCAACACGGTGTCCCCAAAGGCCATTGGCTGCTTTCGGTGAAACCCAGTTCAGTTTACTCGTCACTGGAGTTGAATCGACCACGGGATCATCAATCTTGACACACTCGGTATGTCGGTCTGGAAGTGGGACAGCGAAAGCCGGCTTACTGTGTTGCGTAAGGCCTTCCTCTTTCGAGATGTTGGCGCACGTAACAATACCCACGGTAGCAGGAGAACTTGGTTTTCCTGAGGCTGCGGGTCTTGCTACTTCTACCCTTACCACGCACTGCCGGGAAGAGACCCGGAGGTGTTTGCAGGTCACCACCACCTGTCCAGGCGGGACCATGTGCAGAAACTGCACGAAGACATGGATGGGATCGGGGAACCGTTCTTCACCAAATTCAAGGGCGTTCAACTTTTGGGCGGCGGAAAGCATCAATGCATTCAGGTAGCCACCCAGTACAGAGCTGCTCTAGTCAGTCTTGTTACTCGACTGGTTAGCTCGCTACCACGTTGTCGAACATACTGTTGGGTACACCATTCCGGAGAGATATTTGCCACGAATCGGTCTCGTGTACCTTTCTCAAGAGCTATGGATGACACCGCCTGCAACAAGGGGGAGGCGGATATGGGATGAGACGCCATTTCCGATCGGTCAACAGTTCAGACGGGGGGTATTCAGGGAGGGTTCAATTGAATACTGGTGCTATGAAAGTGTCCACGCCTTCGGATCAGGGACAAGCCCGCTGGGATTCTAGCTGCATATGTAGTGTCGCAGTCATTGAACGATGCAGTGACACAGAAAGTTGCCGAGGCGTGGGTTTTCTGTGCTTTTGGCCAAATTGCAGCGATCAGCAGCAACGAATACTACTAAGAAAAATCATTGACCCGTGGACAGTTGGCAACAAATCAGCCTAACTGAGACGAAGCGAGTAGTGTTGTCGACAGCGAGACATCGATCCTCTCGTATCCTAGTTTAGTAGGGTTGATCCTTGATATTGCCGAACGCGGCACGATGAAGAATGTAACCCCTAACCCAGGAGTATATCTCGTCTATTATTATTTTCCGAGTAACCCGAATGGGAGACAATGGGGATGTGCAAAGTACTGGTCAGATGGAAGTAGATATTTTATTGAGCACAGCCGAGGTAGTGTACAATGGTTTCTTCGCCTGCGCAGCCCCTGAACGAATGGAGAATCAATGATGCAACGAGTCGCCCCCCTCATACTTCGGCTTCCTAATCGGGAATGAAAGCGGAGGAGACGCAGAATTCCCATGTATCTTTTCAAATTGGGATCCCTTGACGAGAAGAAGGTTCGTCGAATCATTCGGATTGTGCCCAAGATCAGACGTTGAAGCAGACATGGAACACCCAAAGTACGGTAGTAGTTACCATACCATGTACCGGTAATTAATAATTCTTCCTCCCCCAACCCTGATCGGGTAATATTGGTATGTTACTAATTTCTCGCCCGCGGCGGTGAACAAAAGAACAGGAAACCCGCCGTCCACAGCTTCGGTTGGAAGAAAAGTCATACAACTAATACAACTAATAATAACAACTAATATAACTTATCGGCAGACAGGTTCGATCGGCTCGTTTAGGCAGACTTACATTCCCACTCCGGTCCAAAGATCAGGAGAAAAAATAGGAGGCTGAGGATCCCTCCATACTAATTCGCTGCCCAACGATCACGTGGCGGCACACGGGCGCGGCGCGAACTTTTCGGGGGGGGCGAAAGATTGATTATTTTCTTCTCCGATCCTCCGGCAATGTCTTTCTCTCCGTCCCACGATCTCAAGAGGAGGAGGACCGTGAAGGGTTTTTGCAAAAGAAGTCATGGCCATGGTACAATCCTTAGAAGAGTCGGCTTCGTCAGAATCGCTTTGGAGACACCTGCGTGACCATCATGGAATAAGCAAGACAGATTCACAGCGGCGATTGTTAACAGATCCATCGTTCAACATCCCCGCGAGAATAACCGATCACCCTTCCACCCCAACGGAATCAAAACTCGCTTCCGGTCTACTCTACAACGATGTCGCAGTTGAACACTCCGGCCGGGGGATTCAACTGACGGTTAACGAGCAACAATGCCTGATCAGTTTGTGTAGAAGTATGATGGACCATTACGAACTAGGTCACTACCCCAAAAGTTTCTGGATTCGAATCTCCACGGCACTACAGGAGCAAACTGGCCGCCGATACTCATGGCAGTCATGTCGACGACGCATTATCGGCTATATCACGAAACGCAAGGCATACTGGGCCGCTTACAAATACAATCAGATCCCGGAGTGTGACATACACAGCGACGTCGCAGAGGACATTGATTCCTGGATGGGCTCATGTGATAAAAAGCTGGGACGGCCTGTGCGCCATGAAGTCGCCCTGAAAGCGGCCGAGAAACCCGAAGAAGCCCCGCCACTTCGGGTATCAGTTCAACAACTGATAAAGTACACTCGGGTTTCAAATTGGGTGGAAAGTCTTCCGCCACCCGCAGAGATGGACCCTTTACCAACGAAATTCGGCATTCCTTCATTGAGCTGGTGCCCTCCCTTCTCCAGTCACCAGTCATTGTCTCATTCCCAATCTCCGAGCCAGTCACCGGTGCTCAACGAGATCTCTATGTACCGTCAGCGGGCGGGCGCTCCTCGTGGTATCCATCTCGCACCGTCGAACACTCCCTCCTACAGAGGGCAACCTACAGAGCAACAAGAGAGACCGAAACTCCCTCCATTAACCAATAGCGCGGTTCAAACTCAGGCTTCTCCAGGTGCTGTCCCTGAGACATCTCACAATACTCAGACTAGCAACAAACGACCTCGTGATGACGATGACGACGGTGATGCAGCCCGTGATCATCCCGCTCGCCGTCTACGCCAAGACGAGCCCAGCCATCCATCGGGCACCGTAACTCTAAATCAGGAATCCGCAGTGAACGACATAAAAGCCGTAGACAGCTCCGTCGAGAACACTTTTGGCAAACTCTGGGAGCGAGTTGCACCACTTTTCAAGGATCCCGTTTTGGCCCAGGGTCCCGCGGCGATGAAATCCGAGTCCATCATGCGCGATCTATTCAGCGAAATTGGAACGGCTCTAACCAAAGCATTTACGAGAATGAGAGAAGACAATGACGAACCTCAGAAGATGTGAAACGCATAATTTTTTTTTACCTTTTTTATCTTTTGCTAAGGCGCACCCAGCGGTATAGTTCTCGTCTCTGTTTATCCTTACGACACCGCCCTTCTCTTAAATTCCCTTCTTATCTTTCTCGTTATATTCATTTAGTTTGGGCGGCATTGCATGCATTGATATACCTCGATTTTTTGTTCCGCCTTTCCTCGCTATCTCATCATCCCTACCCTTGGTAGCGTTGTCATTGCGCATCAGATTGCATTAGACTGCCCGAGATACCCCCTTGCATATAAATTGGCACACTTGGCATCGCATATTCTGTCTTCCGTTTTCCTGTTACAAAATTGTGAATCACTCTGCACAAAGCAAACTTGGCTATGCATTTTCATCCAGCAAATAGAGAGTCCTATTATTCAATGTTGATACTAGACAAAAAAATACTCTACATATCAAACAACCGATCACAAACCACAAATAATGCGTCTATCTCGACCCAATAACCCCCATACCGCTCATCCACGATGCATAAGCATATACCCAACTGCATATCCCTTGCGTGGAAACGTCATCCACCCAACTTGCCCTAATCGTTTAAGCATTCGGGCCAACGTCACATTACCATGCAAATGCTCCCCCCTTGCGTAGTTCATCAGACTACCCAAATTCGACAGCCACGCTTTCGGTTGCATCAAGACTAAGCGCCATGTTTGATGAACAGACTGGCTAGGATAGGGCACTGTGACCATATTACCGATATCTTTAGTCTCATTGAAGGATCAATAGGGTGTCAAATTTTGAGTTAGTAATACTAGAGATATGAAAAGGGCGAGAAGGCAAACTAGTTAGTTTTTACTGATCATTTTCAAGCCCCATGATATGGAATGGTGTTTTTCGTGTGATTCCGATCACTCAGAGCTCAAAACTGCAAATGAAACCATACCCTCGGTGAGGTAGGGAGAAAAAAATTCAATAATTGAGCCTTCTCATAGTAGCAGTACATATATTTGTCCACAGAGAGTCTATTCTATATGCAAACCTCAAGAACGTTTATATGCCTATATTTCCTTAAATCAAAATTCATGCCATGCAACCGCCTGTAGAATGCCACCAACGCCGGACTATAATGGACTTAAGATTAGATGATACAGGGGACCTGAGTGTCTAATGACACAGGGTGATCCACTGGTTTACGATCTCTTCCATATCGTGAGCAATGCCCCACTGAGATATGAGACAGCGGAACAGCTTCTGCATCGAATTCATCTCATAGAGCAGGTTCCTCGCGGCTCCTAGCCCAGGTGGCGAATCCGTATGGCCTTCTTCAACAAACCTTCTTGTTTCGGATCCAGTAGATGCCCGACTACCATCACATCCTAAGTTCAAATCGGTGTGTGAAAGGAGTGCGTCCTGCCAAGCAATGGTCCGTGGGAGGTGGATTGTTGCGACTCCAGCGAGCGAGAACACGACATAGATTGTCACTGCGGCAAAGAGGGAGCTTGGCATATGGATTACATGAGCTCGTCCTCGTGGAAGTTGTTCGATGATATCCTGAATCGCAATAGCATGCAGTAAAGCACGACGTGCATCAGGTGTGTAGACCCACTTCGTCATATCGAACCCGGGCTTAACCGTTCGGGAGCCTCCGGACACATGTTGCGTAATGTCGTAGCAGGAGCAGACATGCCTACAAAGAACGGTCGAGTTAATCATAGTGTCGAGGCATATAGTATGCCAACGGAGAAGAACTTCGAGCCGTTCTTCGGCGGAAAGGTGAATGCTCATAGAGACGGTCTCGTGCACTTGAGCCAGAGCTCTTCTCAGATCCGAACGCCCTGGGACACCCACAGCGACAAGGTCACTTTCGTCCGAGTCTGATACCAGGGACTGTAGGCCTTCAAGGATGACCCGAAGGGAGAAGGCAGAAAGCTGATAATCCAGAGGCCGAAAGCTACTAACCGGAGGGAAAAGAGAGCGGAAGACCAGCCGAAAGGATGGCTGATCGGGTCTTTGTGAGCGCATAAGTGCCAGCCATTCGTCCACGTTGCTGGCATCAAATGCAGCTTCACTGCTAGGAAGAACAAGGGGATTAGCCACATGGCGGGTCGATGTACCGTCGCCAGACATCTGGGCAACGAGGCCATCAAGAACATGATACGCAAGCAGTGCACGCTGTTGAATCTCTCGTGCCGCCCATGTTCGCCATTGACACTCTTTCTCCTCCATTGTTGCACTGGGGAACGGCAAGCTCTCCACGGAATAAGGCTCGCTATCTAACATGCCGCAATGCCGGGCCCAGAAGAATCCGAGTGGGCGGAAGACTTGACTCGTGGTGCGAATGAGTCTATTCTGTAGTAGTAAAGGTTAGTTCAAGTATAAAAGCCAAGCCAGTCCTGGTGACAGCAAACCTTGGATAATGCACCGTATATCTGACCTAGAAGGGCAGTGATAAGAAGCTGGACGCCTTTACATGCATCATATGGGCCGCGATGTGTAATTAACGATTGCCACTACGTAGGCGTAAGTATGGCCAAAATTGCTAAAGAAGAACGAGACCTACCGAGGTAGCAACGGCAGTATGTGCCAGCCGCCATAACGCTTCCCCCTACAATATCGTTAACAACCTTGTGACTCCTTCTACGTCCGAATCAGCTTACTTTCGCGACTGAATCTTTGGGACCCAAATACAGGGATCCCAAGGCCATGGCATTTAGAAGAAGTGGATGAGTGCATTCCCGAAAAACGAACGTAGCCCGATGCAAGATGGGGAATGTTGGAATGAACCGCACAAAGAACATGTGCAGGCATTCATCCAGGAACACAGATGTGATTGACGTTGCCTTGATCGCCGCTGTCACACTGGAGGACTGGCGGTGGCACAGTTAGCATTTCTTCGGAGGCATAGCATCTCTCGAAAGATCTTACAGAGCTTGCCACCATTTCTGTGACATCTCGTACAGCCTGGTGACTACCACCCGAAGGGATCGTGCCAATTGACGAGCTACGATCGTCGAATGAATTTGGGGACCCAAAGCTCATTGAGTTCACATCTTGAACTACGGGTGGGAAGGGTAGTGCTCCCAGAGGCATCTGCCATTGATCTGTTGTGTCTGATGACATGATACTTTGGAACAGACTCTCCGAATCGGGCCATATCAGCGTAAAATCAAGATCGGAGGCAGCATGTTGCAAGCCAGGGTTTTGCTCCGGTTGTGAAGCATCCCATGTCTGACTTGGTACAGGCACTGATATTGCAGTGTCTACGGGGGCTCTCGTGGTATCCCATGGCGGGAGAGCCTCGAGAGAAGCTGGTTGGGGAATCTCGTGTACATGCTGCCCTTGAGGAAGCTTAGAATTGGCTGCAGCACGAGCGTGCAATTTCTCATGGCGCGCAAGGGCGTCTTGGCGGGCGAAAGGTCGACGACATTCTTTGCAGACGAATGGCTTGGCTCCGGTGTCTTCGGTATTGATACCCTGGTCAGCTTTCCCAGTCGTATAGCCTTAGGGGTTATGGCAGATGGCGATCGGAAATCCCGACCAAGTAGCACGGCACAAATCACGGCATAGATGGCTATATCTTACGGCAACGTTCATGTCTCTAAGTGCCGACATTAGCGAAGTCTCCACCGAAAGGGAATGAGATACGGATCAGATACCCTTAGATGCTCAGCCTTCGAGAAGGCCTTCTGGCAGACTCGACACACCAATGCTTTCATGGTCAATATTGTAGTGCTTTGGAGGGTCAATAGAAGCAACCGCCGCAGGTTAGCTCGAATGAATCAGTACCATTACGATCACCCTCAGAGTTTATGCATTAGGGTAGCGAGTTCGGGAACTGGACTTGTCATTAACAAGTGGGCCGTGGGGAGTATGTAAAGGAGGAACGAATTGTGGGGCAGTGGCAATGCGACGGTCGGCTTGGCACGTGAGCATAGCATGCTTGATCCGGCTTAGTCGTTGACAACCATTCCAGGGCTGGGGTCAAATTGGCCAATCTCCAGGCTCCCATTGCATGGCCAACGCCTCCACTCCAAAATACTTATCCATCTCCGAGTGTCCCGTGGCCCGTACGGCATACACAGTAACCGTAAACGAGCCGGAGAGTTTGGATTTGTATGGAACTGCGTATCCCCTGGAGTTTCGGGATCTTTACTCGGCTATCTCATTCACGCCCCCCGGTGAGCTGCGAATTTGGCTCATCCAATGGACTAACGCACGACTAATCGACCATGACAAAATAGACTGACCATTGTCGCCCCTATAACTCGATAGTATTATGAAAACATACTCCGCATATTCTCCACATGGATGGATTGGTCAATCTCTGGCCTTACCCCGGGCGAGAGTGCCCACCCCAATGCAGAATTGATAGGCCAAATACCCCGGCCGCGTGAGTTTGCGTGGGACGGACCAAATTCCCTACTCTTCGGTTAGAGTCTTCTTGACATATGTGAATAACGGGTTATCCGCATCTTCGTGGACTATTTTGGAAGCCCTCTCCCTCTGTTACACCCATTCTCACCTATTCTAACCCTGGGGTGCCTTAGTTGCAGGAAGCTTGAGCCCTTTACTTGGAATAAACAGAGATTCAAATCCAACACTGGCTGTGCCCCTATCCAGGAGCTCGTCCAACATGACTGCGTCAATGGAGATGCAGCCTCGCCAAAATGACGACGTCCCAGATGCTTCTCAGCCGGGAAAAGTGGACGTGGACTTTGTAGAGAGCACGGCGGGAGCCATCCCTTCCAGTTATTCCGATATCGTGGAATCTCGCATTTCAAAGGCACACAGAGACTACCTGATGGAGCGGCACGGCACACTAGAACTTGATCCCATCCCTAGCATGGATCCAGCGGACCCGTACAACTGGCCGTCCTGGAAGGTTAGTACTCATTTTTCAAACTATGTTTTTGAGCAACGAGATGTTGCATGAACTCTTGAGGACCGATGACTGATTAGCTTTGAATCTCTGCAGAAGCTGGCGAATCTGGTTTTGGTAGCTATTCACGCATGTATGGGTACCTTTGCCGCTGCTGGTATCATTCCTGCCTATGCAACGTAAGAGGACACCTTAAAATCAACGGTTTACTGTTCTAGTTTTCACTAACAAATGACGGGTAGGATCGCGAAGGAGTACAACATTACGATCCAAAAAGCGAGTTACCTGACATCGCTCCAGATCGCCATCTTGGGCGGGGCCCCATTGTTCTGGAAGCCCATGTCTAATCGCTATGGACGTCGTCCGATCTTCCTTATCTCCCTGATGTGCAGCCTAGTATGTAATGTGGGGTGTGCGAAAAGCACGGACTATGCATCAACTGCCGCCTGTAGAGCTTTGCAAGCATTTTTCATCTCTCCAGCATCTGGTAAGACGGATTTCTGATTAGACCTCAGAATCATTTGAGCTGACAATCATATCAAGCCATCGGAAGTGCTGTTGTGATGGAGACCTATTTCAAGAAAGACCGTGCCAGGTACATGGGTGTGTGGACCCTGTTGGTCACCTTGGGAATTCCCCTGGGTCCATTTATTTTTGGGTTCGTCGCATATCGGGCAGGCTACGTATGGATTTACTGGGTTCTGGCAATAGTTCGTCTACCACCCCGATACACACTCGTACTGACTGCCGTTTGCTAACAAATTTTCATCGATCAGGTCAACGGCGTCCAGTTCATCTTGTATCTCTTTCTGGGACCAGAAACTCGGTATGTTGGCAGCAATGTCAACCCAAATCAGCCTGCGTGGAAGAGAGAGTATCTTTCACTCCGTCGGATCGACCCGACTCCTTTCTCGTGGTGGGAGTTCGTTAAGCCTCTTTCCATGGTTATGTATCCCTCTGTTATGATCCCAGCCGCGGCGTACGCAATGGTCTTCTTATTGAGCAACGTGTTGGCCACCGTTGAAGTGCCAGAATTGCTCCAGGAAAAGTTCGAGCTGAACACCGAGCAACTCGGTTTGCAGTTCCTGGGTCCCATTATCGGCTCCGTCATTGGCGAGCAATTAGGAGGCACCCTGTCGGACGTCTGGATGAACACACGAGCAAAGAAGATCCAGCGGAAGCCCGAGCCTGAGCACCGTCTATGGCTCAGCTACATCGGCTATATCTGTTCCATTGTGGGTCTGATCGTCTTCCTGGTGTGCACTCAGGAATCTGCGACAGGCCACTGGAACGTAGCACCTATCATCGGTATCGCCATTGGAGCCGGCGGTAACCAGATTGTAACCACCGTCCTTGTCACGTACGCCGTAGACTGCTATCCCACCGAAGCTGCCAGTGTCGGGGTGTGTATCACGTTCGTTCGACAGATATGGGGTTTCTTGGGGCCGTTTTGGTAAGTCGAGGGAGGGTCACGTCAAGCTTTAGGAGTACGATAGCTAACGAAGCTCAGGTTTCCGCCTATGTTTGAAACAGTCGGTGTGGCAGCGAGTGCAGGTGTTGGGTGCGCTCTCATCGTGGGTGTCAGTGTTATTCCGACTCTATTCCTTCACTTCATGGGTCGGAAATGGCGTCCGGACATCCACACATGAATCTAAAGTTAGTATTTGTCTCGATAGATGATTCTGTCAGATGCATTAGAGTATAGAATAAACTGGGAATCCTTGGGTGTGAATTGGGATCGAACAAAGCTGTATGTATATATGGGTTAGAGGTAGAATAGAATAACACTGGCGATAGCCAGAATATGAACAAATTGGAATCAGGGACAAGATAAAAAAAAAACGTTCAAAGTCAAGATACAGAAAAGGGATAAAAGAAAAGCCCCAGCTTGGACTGATTTCTTTATATACTCTTAGCAAATCGATAGCTATCACAGATTTTTCGCTGCCCGTGTCATCGAGCCGATATCATCCCATCGGGAAAGCGAAGTCACACCACACGTTTTAGTCTCCTAATGGTCCCGTGGCCGATCGGCTGCCCGAGCTACAATAATATTAGGGAGCTTCATCGGAACAGCAACTCGGCATCGTAACATCATATTAACTTTTTACTTCAAAATCATGCCAAGTACTTCCATAACCTCGACTCCATAACTAACATGCCTACAATAAAGCAAAAAATAGTAGACCACTACTTTAAACCTCAGATGCTGTCGAATAATGCAATGAGTGTATCAACTACATAGATGTCCTACTCTGATTCAAGCACCTCTGAAGCGGAGATGATTTACTCCGCCTAGGGCTAAAGTCATATCCCACACTTCGCAAGAGTGAAAGTGGGGATCTACCAGAAGTAGTTAGCGTGTGTTACTAATCTGATGTGGGGACTTGCATGTGGAGAGTTTTTTCTTGTTGGATGTCCTCATGCTTCGTAAATGCTTATCCTATGCTTGTCATTGAGGCTGAAGTATGATCTGTAAGGCATACATTGAACTGTCTTGCGAGACAAATTTAGACTAAATCAGATCGACTATTTTGCTAAACTTTACAGACTTCTAGGACACCATAGACTTTCTCAGTAATAGCTAAATTTCCAACCCTTCGCCAAGGCACAAAACTGCAGCTTGCAGGCAAAAGGATGTAAATTGTCAGCGTCAGCTAGCCAAACTCCTTTTCATCCAACTATGGCCATGATTCTGTTCATGGTTAGCAGATGAAGCTTAAGATAATTGGATAAGGGTGGTGAACCTTTATCCGCCAAATACGTGTAGACCACTTAGTGTCAATCTGTCGTCCTTATACAGAACTTGTGCTTATCTTTCGGTCCTATCAAGTCGACATCGGGTTCGAATTCTTATCCGTGCAGCTCGCGCCGATTCTGTCTTCTGTCTATTAGCTACCGACGTCTAGATGCGTCGCTAGCAACCTGCCTTGTTGATCGCCGCAGCGGGATATACTAAAAGATAGTAACCACGCGTACGTCAGACACAACCGATTCCACGGTGCGACTGCCATCTTGCATCATCTGCGCCACAGCTACAGGATCTTGGAGGCACTTGAAGTCTTTTCTTTTGAACATTCCCGACGAAGCCTCATAATCGAGCATAGTTTCTTCATACGCGACCCATTCCGCGGCAGATTCGAGACAGATGCGGTGGATGGTGTCCCCGTTGAACCAACGGAACAAAGTGTAAACAAGTGGAACGTTGTTCAACCACGCGATATTGAGTGTTTCATGCCTCTTGCAGTATTCAAGAGGCAACTCTGCGCCCAGCATAGTCAACCGACCATGCGGGCAGATCCGAACGGAGTCGATCATGATAACGGTATCTTCCAACGATTTGACCCTTGACAAGTAGGACAGCGCAACTTTTCTCACCTTCTCCGGCCAGCCAAAGGCAGCCGCCAGTCGCACCCAGTCCCTCAGAGCTTGGAAATAGGCCTCGTCGCACTCGCATGGCGTATGGCCCTCGCAGTAGACTCCTTGATCGGAAATGGGAAGTCAGGCATTGTGTAGTATCACAAGTGCAGACTAGTTGAAGGATATTTATTCACAGAAGAGTCACGCAGTTGATTTGTGTAGTGAAAGAAGACAGATTTGCAATCAGTATTCTATGCAATAAGAGGAGAAAGGAACAATTGTTGTGTTGTTCGTGATATTGCTTTTTCATTGCGCTCATTTTCATATTCACTCGTTGATCACTTTTCTGATAAAAGGTGCAAGTGAATGTTCTTGCATTTGTTGTGAGCCAGAACTCTACCCATGGCACACTTTCTAGGCTGTCAACATCACACCATTGTCTTCATCATATCATAATTATGTGTGCTATCTTGTCTGATCCATCCCATCTCACTCGCATCAGTCACTTGCAGTAAAATACTTAATAAAGCATGATTTTCCCTCTGAAGAGCCACGTAGTTAATATCAAGCTTTGTGATCTTGCAGTCGTGACTTGGTAAGTGGGTGTAGATAAGTACATATTGCTCAGGTTCTACACATGCATCAATACCGACCTTTGCAAGAGCTCAAAGGTCAGACATGCTGTCAAACTTTAGATATTTGGCAAGAACATACCCATGCAAGAACCAGAGAGCTTATGTGGTCCAAGCCGTTGAACTTCGCAAATAGTTTCAAAGCAATGGCCGTGAAGGCTCGAGCGTATACGGAGCAATTTTATGCGGATCTATTTTTCTAAACATTCATGATACACCTATTGAGTCTTAACTACAGCTTTATTTCTGGTTTTCAATCTTTGTCACCAGAGTTCCAACGTGAGGCAGCAATTCAACGGCGAACTCATCTCCCTCCTTCAAGAACTCCTTCGGGTTCTTTGCAGCTCCAACGCCAGGGGGGGTTCCAGTCAAGATGATTGTTCCCGCTGGCAGAGTTGTTCCTTGAGACAGAAAGCTGACAAGCTTGGGCACGCTGAAGATCAAGTCCCTATTCAAGAATTTGTTAGCCTTTAAGTTAAGCAAACCTATGGTTGGTTGCCGGGGTTTTTCATACGTGAGAGGACAATCCTGTAGCACCTTTCCGTTCTTCAGCCCGCGGATCTGGAATTTGCTGGCATCCGGAAACAATGCCGCAGAAACAAGAGCCGGACCTAATGAAACAGCCCGTGTCAGTCAGTGGATCACAAACTAGAAAGGAATTTATATGAGAGGCACTGACCAATTGGACACGAGGTATCGAATCCCTTAGAGAAGCACCATTGGCTCTGGTTCATCTGTGACGTGCGGCTTGAAACATCGTTTGCTGCCGTGTATCCAAGGACATAGTCCAGGGCGTCAGCCTCGCTAACATCCTTCGCATCACGACCAATAACAATAACCATTTCTGACTCATAGTCGCCCGTGTTGTCAACCTGCGTGATCTTGGGAAGAACGGTTGGCGCAGGCCAAGGGTCTGAGAGGGCCGTTGGTGGCTTAATGAACAGTGTGGGGACATCTGGGATAGATAGTTTCATCTCGGCGGCGTGAGAGCCATACTACCGAACAATCAGTCAATTGCGACTCTGAAGAAGTGGTATTTGGTAATGTCGCAAGCGACAACTCACGTTTAGCCCAATACATCTAATCGACCCGACCTCATTCTGTGACAATGGGGAGAGAACCCGGCTGATGATCTCAGTGGACTCTGTCTTCTGGCCTGGGTTAAGGACGGATGCTCCGGTGAATGGTCGCACTGAGACTTCCTTTCCCTGGTAAAGAGCCAATCCAACATCAAGTTGCGCATCTACCGGTTCGCCGATCAGAACCTTAGACGGGTTTGACTTAGGAACAAAGCGCACAAGGCCTATGGCGTGTTAGCAAAGGAGTATTATGGGTGTTGCATGTTGGTGTTTCCATCACTTACGCGAGAAGGTCGACGCGATTTTTGACATGATTCTTGTTATTGCCAGTGGATAATAGATGCAATTGGGGTAGAGATGTGATTAACAAGTTTTATGTAGGAATTGAAACTTCCCAAAGATTTCCTGGAGGAAGGTGCTCGCGATCACGGACTATTTCTACCCCGATATCGATGCGCGTTCGCGACCGATAAGTGACGTTTGGCGGGGTCAAAGTGGGGAGGGCAAGAATAAACCGATGGGCCAACCGTCCCCGGTCTCTTTCATAGTCTATGAGCAGGCCACCGATGTACGGAGTATCCAGGCTTCTCTAACATCGAAGTACCTGATTCGCAGAGATCCTTTCAGTCGGATGAAGTCCGGGGGCAAACACCCACGATTTCCCCACGATTTGATTGTGGGGAAGTTCTCAGCGCCGGATGTCGGCCGGCTGCTCGAAGAACTTCTAGCCTTAAAAGCAGAGATCCCACTAGTGAAAGTGTTTGAGTGATCTAAGAAAATCAAGAATATTCTTTCTGTACAGTCTGATACAATGTCTGCCCCTAAAGGACCTTTCCGCCTCGTCACTGTCAACACTGCTCCCGAGAGAGCCAAGCGGCTTATCGGCCGGATGGTCGAGGCTCTTAAGGACCGGTATACCATCATCTACGAGGCAAACTGCGAAAGTGAGTGACTCTAGTGTGAAATAACATGTGACACAATATTAACAATAATATAGCAATCGAGGAAGTCGGACCCAAGGTGGAGGCGTTAATGCCTGATGTTCTGGTAGGGATCCCTGTGGTTTTGAGTCCCTACGGGGACCCTTTCAAGCTAGGAAATGAGTTAGGGACTAACGGCCCTATAGTTCAGTGCTTCTATGTGGACCGATGAGCAGGCGCAACAGATTCGCTCCATTGCGAGAGGAATCAAACCTGACATTAAGACCCATGCCATCCCCGAAGGATTGCAAGTAGAGCGGGGTCCTGACGCTATCGTTGAATATCTCTGCGAGAAGGTCCCACCTCTTTTGGATGCTTAAGGTGCGAGCTAGGTATACCATGGGGCTTTAGAAAGGCGCCATAGATGTGTTTTGCCGGAGCCGATGATATCCACTCTGTATATATACTTGCATTGTGACGATGTGATATGATAAACTACAACCCAACAATAGAGTCCTAACGTGTCTATGTTACTGCTTATCCCTACTTAAATGCGCTCGAAAAGGTTCTACTTTGTTCCTCGTTAGATATATTCAGAATTAGAAGCTAGTAGTACTCGGAAATTAAACCACTACAAGATATATTTAATGTCATTGACACTACTCAAAGTGAATAATACTCCATTGGCATCTGCCCCTGCTGCCATCACAACTCATATCGACTAACTAAGCTGCTAAAGATACTAATACAATGAATGCTATAATATACAAAGAAGCTTGTATTATACACTCGAGACATCGAGAAAGACTACGGCGTACTCCGTAGGATGTTCGGCAATGATAAACTTTCCCGAAATGATCGGCGGTCGGAATCGGCCTAAACGTGCTTAGTCACCGTACTATCGCCCTCTTGAAGGAAATGCGCGATGACTTCAAATCGCAATCTTCCTCCAAGATCGAATACAATAGATTCTATAGGGTAATGTTGCCATTTCGAGTGACCCTCCGGGGTACTTCTAGTATCCGCGCATTTTCAACATCCAGGGTGCTCCGGAGTGACCTCTCTTATCAGGTTTTTGGCCCTGAAAAACAGGAAGCAAGTCAGAGTCCAATTGTTTTCCTACACGGGCTCTTCGGTTCTAAGCAGAACAACAGGAGTATTAGCAAGTATGTTAAGATAAGATTGTCTAGGACATTGTTATCGCCGTCTACTGGTGACTTCATTGTCGACTAACAGGGGTTGGTAGAGCTTTGGCACGTGATTTGAAGCGTGAGGTCTTTATCCTGGTATGTTTTCGTCCGGTGATATACTGAAGTGAGAGGGCTCGTGTACTCATGCAAATGGCATTTTCAGGATCTCCGGAACCATGGCCAGTCATTTCACTCCAAAGAGCACACATACAATGTGATGGCAGAAGATGTAGTCAACTTCATACATCAGCAGAAGCTGAACAAGTGTGTTTTGATAGGTCATTCCATGTATGAATATTGCTTGTCCTTTGTAGCACTTCAATCATGATTCAAGTGACGATTCTAACCAAGACAAGGGGTGCAAAAGCTGCGATGACGGCCGCACTTGACTCCCCCAGTTTGATCTCAGCGCTTATCCCCGTCGACAACGCCCCAGTTAATGCTCCCCTGAAGAGTGACTTTGGCAAATACGTCCGTGGCATGCAACATATTGAAGCCCAGAATGTAGCAAAGCTGTCTGATGCAGATAAGATTCTGAAAGATTATGAAGAAGTAAGTAGTCCTGTTCAAAATGCTTGGATCGTGTTAACCGCAATATACCACGCCTTGTAGTCTCTTCCTATCCGCCAATTCCTGTTGACCAACCTAGTTCGTGGGGAAGATGGAGCTATGAAGTTCCGTGTCCCTCTTTCGATCTTGGGGGATGCCTTGAGTGACATGGCCAATTTCCCTTATGCCGAGTCTGGCTCTGTCATATATGACGGCCCGACGTTGTTCATTAGGGGCACGAAAAGCAGATACGTCAGTGACGATACAATTCCTGCGATTAAAAAATTCTTTCCCAAAGCCCAGATAGCCGATGTCGAAGCTGGCCACTGGCTCATATCGGAGAATCCTGAAGCTTTTAGACAAAGTGAGTACTGATTTGGAAACCCGTTGTTATGTATGGTAGTTTAACTGACGAGAATTACTTCTTCAGAGGTTGTTGCATTCTTGCAAGAGACACCTTGAAAGTATGTATTATAGAATTAACTATGGCCTTCTGGATATGTACGGCCTCCGTACCCATCTGGAGCCGAAGAATGAAAAATCGTCAAGAAATAAAATAATCCATCCAACTGATGAAAAAAAAGAAACAAAGATCGACCTCAGCAACAGGTATCTAGCGGTATTCGCAATCCATAAAACCTGATCCCGTCACTATCGTAATTAAGTGCCGGTGTCGTCACGCGCCTCGCGTCTTGTAAATAAATATTGAAAATGTTCGCACAATGTTCAGTGCCGATAGACATTTATGGGTGAGTGAGACTACACTTATGGCAGACATGCTATTGTTGCGCCTTCAACTCCGTAGGTTTCCCTCCACAACCCATACCTGACACCAACGGGGTTATAAGACAACTAACTTTCTAACCAATGAGTTGACAAACACAAGTTGTGTGCTCGCTTAGTCGAGGGGTATCGGTTCAGTGGATACCATTTTGCGTTTTTTCTTCTTCTTCGGTCGTCTGTTCTCGGTGGGCTCCCCTTGTTCAAGCGGAGATGCTCCAGACGAGAGCGATCTGGGAGATTCTTGTCGAGCAATTATTGGAGGTTTTTCATCCTCCGACAAACCCGAAGGACGTGGTCTCTTTTTCTTCTTCTTCTTCTTTTCCCGCAATGCGAGCGTAGGATTAGTTTCAGCCACACTCAGAATCCTTGCCGCCTCTTCTGTATCAGCAGGACTATCATCTGTAGGGTTTGGAGCCTGATCTTCGACGATAATTGGGGACACTGCTCGAGGATGGAACTCCTTTGCTTCCACAGCTTTCTTAAGCTCATCTAACTGTTCATGCAGCTCTTTATGGCGAAGCTTTTCTGACCGCTCAACTTCACTGATCTGGTCAAGAAGTGACGAAAGGTTAGTATCATGTGCACTGTGCACTTTCGTGATTTCGCTGAGTTGATCAAGAAATGCTTGGTGTCGGTCGGATGTGGCTTCCTTGAGTTCATGAAGGTCATCTTGCAATGACTTAATGTCACTAGCATGCATTTCAACTTTTGCAAGACTGCTGGTATTGACAGACCTCACTACTTCAACATCATTGGCCAACCTCTCCAGACTGCTAGCCACTTGGCTCAGACGGCTATCGAACTCGCTACGCTCGTCACGTAAACGTTCCCTGAAATGGTCATCAGACTGCTCCCGCGACCTGAATTGGGAGTCATATGTGGATGTGGACGCCTCAAACTTTGAAAATAAAGTGTGGAGATCAACTTCTAGTTTGCGAATGTCATTTTGGCTTGGTGGCTGACCTTGCCTAGTTTGCTCCCCGTACCGCTCCCAAAGAGGTGCAAGAGATTGTGAGAGACTGGCATGGTCGTTTTTCAGCTTGTTTAGCTCATCCAGGCGTAGAGCTGCTTCCTGCTGGGTCTGCCTGACGAAAGTATTTTGGCTTTGACAGAGGTTATCAACTGCCGTTTTTAACCCAGAATATTGCTCCAGTAGTTGGCTAGCAGAGGGGTACATCTCCTGCAACGCAGCGACCATGTTCCTCGCCAACGGCTCGGTAGTGAGAGAGTTGTATCTGGTTTCCAGAGAATGTAAGCCCACCCTAACAGTCTCCACTACCTGCTGTGTATTTTGCAATGAACCTGATAAATTGGCAATTCGTTGTAGGGCAGCGGCTGGATTTGATTCACGCAAGGTCTTCACCTCGTCTGACAGCATGTTGCAGTTGTTCTTCACGCCCACTAGTTCTTCAGATGCTTGCACTAGTGACTTTTTCAGATCTTCCACTTCCGAAAAGTGCAAGTCATCCTTCATCTCCTGCAAACCTTGCAGTTGATTAAGTATGTTTTCGAGGCTCTCAACTTTAGATTGTAGGTATGATGTAGAAACTTTATCCACATTTGGTTCATTTGTCGCCATGGATGCTGGAGGCGCCGTCCTCGTAGATTCAACAGAGCCAAGACGGGTATCAAGAATGTCTAACCTTTGGCCCAGCGGCTCAATACCAGATATTTTCTGTTGCTGCTCCTTGGTCGTTTGGTCAACTTTGTCGATAGCAGCTGAAAAACTTTCCTGGCACGTCCGCAGGGACTTCAGTTCTGTACCCAAAGCTGTTCTTTGCTTCTGCCATTCATCCGCCTCTGCTTGAAACTTCGTTGATATGCTTTCTTCCACTTTAGCCAATATGCTCTCTTCCACTTTGAATATGCTTTCTTCCACCTTGGTCGATGTGCTTCCCCAGCGCTTCTCGAATTCCAACGAGATTTCCTCAAGACGAGACGAGTAGTCTTTGGTCTGCTTATCCAAGGACGTTCCGTGGTTTTCGAGCGATTTCTCCAGCATAGTCATTCTCGCCTGGAGGCTCCTGAGCGTGTCCTCCAGAGAGCGGTTTTGGTCTCGAAGACTGGAGGCCTCGTCTTTCGAACGCTTAGCATCTTGCTTAGTTGTTTCGATCTCTTCTTTCAGTTGATCATACTTATCCACCAAACTGGGTCCTGGAGTTAGAGAAGACGTCCAGTTCGCTTTCAATGCTTTCTCCAGCTGATCGAAGCGCGACAAGTGCTCCTTCAGTGCGCCATCTATACGAGCCATATGACCGCCTTCATCGTTCCATGTTTGTTGGAAGAAAGCAGTAGTAGAAGGGAAACTTGACTGAGCTTTCGCTCTTTTCAGAAGACCTTCAGTGGTGCTTTGCTTCTTCTGTATAGCTTCCTTCTCTGAGGTGAGACTAGCGGTCTTTACGGCGGCTTGTATCAAATCGGAAAGCCGTTGCACGAATTGATCGCCAGACACATCAGCCCGAGGTTCATATTGCCTTGAAGCACTGGGAGATGTAAAAGCCTTCCGCGATGGCGTGTCTAGAGAGTTTGCTCCTATAGGGGGCGGTCTGTTCAAGCGGGGGTCGCGCGCGTAGGAAGTAAATGTGCGCTCGGAGCTCATTTTGACGACAGAGCCACGGTGATAGAAGAAGCTATTGCACGGGGCAAATCAAAATGCATCTCAAGACAAGGCACGTCACAAATAAAGCATATTTAAACTTGCAGTGAAACCAGATTAGCTTGCATGGGTAACTTAACTACTCCAATCTAGTGCCCGTATCGGGTCAAGAGCAAACCAAATATGTAGATCTCCGCGTACTTATCTCACCAAGTCCGGTGGCACCACATTTATAGAGAGTAGATATTGTATAAGGTAAAGAGACTCTGATGGAGATCGTCTGCCTAGCAACCAGTGACTGATTAGTTGTTGACGCGAAACCAAATGTTATGGTGAATGAAATTAATTTACTATATTCTGCCGGGCGGTGACACGGGCGGCAGACAGGCTCACGTATTCTGCCCTTCACAGCTCTTTTGTCCAGCCCGTGAACAAGGCGTGGAACAGTTTCGGTGCTGCGCAGACCTTGTAACAGCTTCAGGAAGAGGGACTCGCGATCTCAAATATCCAATATGGCTGCGGTAAGTTAAGCAGAATTTGTTATCTTTGCAATGCCATGGTATTGATCTTGAATAAATAGCAAATCACGACTGTCGCGGAGACCAAGGAACTCCGTGGCTTGAACCTCATCGCTGCCCATTCGCATATTAGAGGACTTGGTGTCGATGCCGATTCTTTACAACCTAGGACCTCATCCCAGGGCCTTGTGGGCCAGGAGAAAGCACGAAAGGCCGCTGCCGTAATTTTGCAGATGGTCAAAGAAGGCAAGATCGCTGGCCGCGCAGTGTTAATTGCAGGACCTCCCAGCACAGGTAAAACAGCACTTGCCATGGGAATGGCGCAATCTCTCGGGTCCGATGTCCCCTTTACAATGCTCGCTTCTTCAGAGATATTCTCAATGGAAATGTCGAAAACCGAAGCACTTACTCAAGCTTTCCGAAAGTCCATTGGCGTTCGGATCAAAGAAGAAAGCGAGATCATCGAAGGTGAAGTGGTGGAAATCCAGATAGATAGGAGCGTCACTGGTGTAAGTACTACTATAAATTCTTTCAGGCGAGAGAATATGTCCATGCTGATATGCTCAGGGTAACAAACAAGGGAAACTCACCATCAAAACCACCGACATGGAGACAATCTACGACATGGGCACGAAGATGATCGACTCCATGACCAAAGAGCGTGTGATGGCCGGCGACATAATCTCTATCGACAAGTCATCGGGCAAAATTACGAAGTTGGGTCGTTCGTACGCACGTTCACGAGATTATGATGCGATGGGTGCTGATACCAAATTCGTGCAATGCCCTGAGGGGGAACTCCAAGTGCGCAAGGAAATTGTGCATACCGTGAGTCTTCATGAAATTGATGTCATCAACTCGCGGTCACAAGGATTTCTGGCTCTCTTTTCCGGTGATACCGGAGAAATCAGGAGCGAGGTTCGGGATCAGATCAACACAAAGGTCGCTGAATGGAAGGAAGAGGGCAAGGCGGAAATAATCCCTGGCGTTCTCTTCATTGACGAAGTTCATATGCTGGATATCGAATGCTTTTCCTTCATTAACCGCGCTTTGGAAGCTGAACTTGCGCCAATTGTCATCATGGCCAGTAATCGCGGCCAAGCCCGCATTCGGGGGACAACCTATAGTTCTCCCCACGGACTGCCTCTCGACTTCCTTGATCGCGTGGTCATCGTGAGCACACAACCATACTCGGCTGATGAGATCAGACAGATTCTGGCCATCAGAGCCCAGGAGGAAGAAATTGATCTCTCGCCGGACGCTTTAGCACTTCTGACCAAGATTGGCCAAGAGTCAAACCTCCGATATGCCAGCAATATCATCACTACGTCTCACCTCCTGAGCCAAAAACGAAAGGCAAAAGAGGTCAGCATCGACGATGTTCAGCGCAGCTACCGGCTATTCTATGACCCTGCTCGAAGCGTCAAGTTTGTGAATACGTATGAGCAGCGCTTCATTAGCGACCAAGGCAACGTAACCTTCTCCGCTGCAGCAAATGGAGACGCTATGGAGATCTCTTAGATTTATTCTGATATAGATTTTCTGGGTGATTTCTGGTGTTAGAACGGTGGGGCATTCCAGGTGATGTGCGAAAAGGACCAAAGTGCGACGTGATCTGTTTTCCTTTCTATTACTATTCTGTGTGTTTTCTTTGCAGTATCAAATTATGTATGATAATGCTGGCGCTTATTCAGAGCTCTGTATGGGTACTTTTGCAATTTGGGTTCGAATCGGAATTTATCGACAAGGAGCCTAAGCTCGAATGATAATCATGATGTTCATATTCAGCGCTTGGTATTCATCGGTGCTATATCTACGACTCCCACCCATCATTAGCTTTCATTATTGTACAAAACTGGCCTGAGAATTCCATCCACCCTCGTCCGTCGTTCTTCGAAATTCGACACCCTCGCCGAAATACCCGGCATTTTTCCACGACTCCATCGTTGTACCGTCGTACGGTCCGTGAACAATCCCACCATCGCGGGCGTCCGACCAACGGAATTCCCACATTGCAGGGGCCTGCTCGCTACTGACAGGGTCTGTATCTTGTGAAGGGGGGTCAACCCAATTCTCGCCCGTCTCACGGCGATACTGACGGGTGAGTAACTCGCGTTCTGTATCATAGATGTCCGCTTGGCCCCGAGTCATGAGGATATCTGCTGCCCCCGTAATCGCATCAATTGCCTGCTTCCGAGCGACTTCTTTAGGGTCATCCTCCGTCATCTCCGTATCCCCTGTGTCCCCATTCTGCTTTAACCTGTTTTTGCTGTGTTTATTTTGCCATTTGGGCTTTTTCTGAGCGCCCTTTCCTAGTCTAGCCAGCGCTTCCAGTATAGTTTCGCCTCGGTCAAGGTGAGTTATAAGGGTCTTCAAGGCGTCTCCCGTTAATACACTATCGTCCATCCGATCTTTTTCCTTCCTGTCGGCTTCTCTTTTCTCCGCGGCTTCTTTGGCACGCCGAATATCTTTCTTTGACACCCCGTCAAGCCACGAATCGTAGATGGCATCGGGGTCTGCCGCCTTCCGTATATAATTTCCTTGATCATCAAACTTGCCCTCCTCCTGTTCAGTCCGCATATTAAACGCATCAAGTAAGGGCGCATGCTTTTTCTTCGATCCTGCACCCAGTTCCTTGTCCATATCCTCATCAACCATAGCGCGGTCTTCATCCGCAACATCGCTCTCGCTTTCCGCTTCATCGTCGTCGTCGACCTCATCGGGGCCTTTAGTCAAGTCTGCGTGTAGTGTACCACCACCTTTGGAGGACGCAACCTGACCCTCGATCTCGTCGTCTCGTAAAAATCGCACAGACTTCTTGTTCTTCCCTAAAGCTTCGTCGGCGTCGACCTCTTCCGCACCAAAGTCCTCTTGTAGCTCGGCAAACATGTCATCGTCATCTGCCGCATCTTCCTTCTGTTTCTTTTTCGCCAGGGCCTCGGCTCGCGCGTCAAACCCTTCATTTTCGCTGTCCGAGTCGTAGCCGTCAAGATTTACTGCTTTGCGACGCACTTGCTGTCCGCGCCGACCGATCTCGTCCGCGTCTAATACTGCATCGTCTTCGAGCGCATCCGGAGCAAGAGCAGAAGGGTTTCGGAGATCAAACCGAGCTTTCTTGCCCGAAGGTTCATTCGGGTCGTCCTCGGGATGTTGATGTGTGCGAGTGAAGTCTTCACCAGCCCGCTTGGGGCGTGGCTGAGTGCCGGACATGAATTATAAATTGGGTGAAAGTCACCGTAAAGCAAATCACCAAAATATTGATGAAGCGATCGCACTAGTCTATAAGCTCACACAGAGCTTGATAATATTTGAATACCGGGGATGTGAACTTTCATGGGAGGAAACTCCGTTGCTGAAGATGTACAAATGGGGTCGGGTCGGAAAATCATTGCGGAGGCATTTGCGTCACTGCGGGCGATAAGCCTTCGTTTCCCGAGCAGTGCTTCACCTAACTATTCGCGACCTTCTTGTGCAATTTGAACATTCTGGTCTCTCCGAGCAACCAGTACGAAAGTTCATTTATCTGTCTCTGGGCATAAAAAAAATAAGGAAACCTTAGATCTAGTATCCTCGTTCAAGTATTGTTCAACCAGTGCCTAAGCATCGGTTACTGCGGGCTTCCCACCATGGTGAGCTTCAGACGAGTCCCGCTGTTGTTAACTTCTCTATGTACTGATATTTGTAGTTCCGCTCTAATTATTATGAGGATGATCCCATGGACGGCGTCTTCAGCTCCTCCATGCTCCGCCATGGAGGTGCAACCCGCCGTTTCGATGAGTACTACCGCTGTTACCCCGTCGCCATGATGCCTGGTCCCGAGAGAGAAAACGTCAACCACGGCGGTAAAGTCATCATGCCACCGAGTGCTTTGGACAAGTTGACTCGGCTACATATCACATACCCTATGCTCTTCGAGCTGCATAATGGTGCACGAGAAAGGTTGACCCACGCGGGTGTATTGGAGTTTATCGCTGAGGAGGGGAAAATCTATCTGCCTTTTTGGGTGAGATTGTCCACTGTCCCATTAATTTTAACTATATCCAGATTTCAGATAATTTCCTCTGCCCTACTAGCGCTCTTTATCGTATTAGACACCAACATGCTAATACAAATTGTCATGTGTAGCTCATGCAAACCCTCCTCCTCGAACCAGGTGACCTAGTACAGGTCAAATCGACCGATCTTCCTCCGGGCCAGTTCATCAAGCTTCAGGCCCAATCAACGTCGTTTCTTGATATAAGCGATCCTAAGGCTGTGCTTGAGAATGCATTCCGCAACTTTTCATGTCTTACAAAGGGTGATGTCTTCACATTTGCCTACAATGATCAAGTTTATGAGATGGCGGTTTTGGAAACTAAGCCAGCCACCAATTCAAATGCCATTTCCGTCCTCGAAACAGATTTGGAGGTCGACTTTGCCCCTCCTGTAGGATACGAGGAACCCCCACGCCCAAGTGGTACCAGTACTCCCCGCAGTGGCGTGAGCGCAACCAAGCTTCCGTCTGGCGGATTGCTTCACCCCCATGGAACCATGGCTCAATCAATCAACTATGCCGCCATTGCGCCTGAGTCTACTGACGCTGCAGCAGGAGCAAAAGCGGTGTCGTCAAACTTCCTTATCGGTGGACAGCGTCTGAATGCGAAAAAGGGAAGTAAGGCTCCAACCCCGAGGCCTCAACTCCAACTCCCGGAGCCACAAACCCTCAACATCCTCCTCCTGTCAGGCGGACCAACGGGCCAATGCCGCTCCGGCTCCCGCCTAATCAATTATTCTTTGGATATGCAATCAAGCCCGTCAAAAAGCGTGACGAAAGCGGCCAGGTTGTCGATGACGAGAAGCCCCGTTTTCAGGGAAGTGGTCAAACATTAAGAGGAAAAAAGAAGGACACCGGAGGCTCTGCAACGCCCACCTAGTGCAACGTTCAAAGCCCAGGGAAAAAGTAACGTTGGTGAATAGTGCCGTCAGGAGATGATGCGCTAGGAGATACCTTAAATTATTGGCGCACAACCTGTTACATTTCTTTCGATGTTTCTATTTCTTTGTCTCAGATTACTATGAGCAAAACAAGGACGGCTTGATTATAAAGCATAGCGTGGTATGGGCTGGCGTTAAATAAGGAAATCACTTTCATGGGATAAAGCCTTACTTATTTCAACAACGGTAGGGTTGGGTGAGATAGTTGGCCCAAGTCTGTTAGGCATGCAGTGTATACTCGGCGTACGAACTAGAACCTGGAAAGGCCCCTTACTCCACGTATGGGGACAAATAAGATGGACGGCTCCACCCAATAATCGCGAGAGATCGCATGCCGAGGACTGTTGGGCTCATTTCGGATCCGTGATTTAGTGCTTCTCTAGTGTCAGATCTATCGACTCCTCCCCCCCGTTTTAAATATAGATAAGAAGTTTAATCCTCCTTTAAAATCTCTACGTCGGTCCTTCCCCTTATTCACACCGTCTAGTAGACATAAACACTGGCAAAAGTCAAGACTTCAGTCTCAGGAAGCCCCAAGCGCAATCCAAGATGTCGCAACCCGAGACCCGGGGCAACCCCCTATCCGCATACACCAAACTATCGCCTTCAGTCTATATCCACGAACCCCAATTGCAGCCTGAAAGCAATGGCGCCCCCAAGACCATCATCCTAGCATCCTGGATGAATGCTCCCCCACGAGCCTTAATCAAATACGTCACCGAGTACATCCGCCTAGTACCCACAGCCCGAATCATCATCATCCTAAGCTCCTCCAAGGACTTCATGACACGGTCCAGCAAGCAGGCGCAACGAGCGCGCCTCGCCCCAGCCGTCAAGGCTCTCCGGGCCTGGTTCCCGTCGTCTTCTTCGGCTGAAGAGACAACCAGATCCCAAGAACAAGTATTCATACACATGTTCTCCAACGGCGGCGTCTTCTCCACAATCAATCTCCTGAGCACGTACCAAGAGACGGTGGGCCGACCACTGCGCATCTCATCAACCATCCTGGACAGTGCGCCAGGCGTGGCGACGGTCTCGGGCGCCATGAAGGCATTCTCGTATGCGCTTCCGAGCCAGTGGCTTTTCCGCCAGTTTACTAAGGTTGTGCTATGGCTGTTTTTCGTGCTGGGGGCGCTTGTGCGCCGCCTTGTTGGGTTGTCAGATGCTGTTGGTGTTGGGCGGGAGGCGATGAATGATCAGAGGCTGGTTCCTGGTGAGGATGGTGGGAAGCCGCGACGGTGCTATATCTATTCGGAGGCGGATGAGCTGGTGGATTGGAGGGATGTGGAGAGACATGCTGATGAGGCGGAGGCAAGGGGTTGGGTGGTGTCGAGGGAGAAGTTTGTGGGGTCCCCGCATGTTTCGCATATGAGAGCTGATCCAGAGAGGTATTGGGGGATTGTGAAGCGGTATTTATTGGAGGAATCGGAGTAAGTGGATTACTGGTTTGTGTGGAAAGCTTGGATATTTGTATACTAGAAGAGTTACTAGTATTGATCATGTTTCTGGGAGCATGACGTACTCGTGATCTGTATCACATTCTTAATTTATAATAAGTGCTTATGCTGAAAGTTACATGCATATTGGACCCAGAGGCTACGGCAGTGCCTTCCAGTATTGTTGTGACTGTACTACTATGTGTTTGGATTACCGCCTGCGTTGTACAAAATGTGGTATGGAGGTGCTGCTTTGAGAGCCTTTGTTGTTGTTGTTGTTGTTGTTGTTGTTGGATAATACCAACAGAATAATCATACAAGCCCTTCCTCATGGAGAGGGAAGACAGATACAACAGCTACCAGCTCCAAAGCTTCCTCAACCCATATCCCATTAAATAGACTTCACAGGTTGTGTTCAAGGTTATTCCTTGCCCAGCAGTAAAATAGAAGCGTGTTAAAAGAAAATCATATTTGGCCAACGTATCATTTCTATACAAATCTCAAGCTCTCGTCACGAAGTCAACCAAAATCACCGTGCGCTATGCATGCAAACGTTATGTACAATCAAGCCACATTAACGCCTCTTTTTGACTTTTGAAACCCCTCGCATATAGATCCTTTTTACTTTTGTAATCTTGACTCACATTCCCCTTGTTTCCGGGAACTCATCCTCAAGCTTCAACCTTGCCGTAACATTCATACTCATCAGCTCCTGGATAAGAAGCTTAGCTGCGTACGGGATGGCCATCTTGACCACACTCCGCGAGGATTTACAGCGCTGACACCAGTTCAGATAGCCCATGAAGCCACACTGCTCGCAGACATCGATCTCGTGACGATCCGACGAGATCATCAGCCGCTCGAGGAGAAGCTGACTGGTTCCGTAGGCAATCAAACAGTCACGCTCCATCTCACCTAGACGGAGACCACCGTCACGGGAACGACCTTCCGTTGGCTGACGAGTGAGGATGGCTCGAGGACCACGAGCACGAGAATGCATCTTGTCTTGAACCATGTGCTTGAGCTTCTGGTAGTAAATGGGGCCAGTGAAGACGTAGAATGGTAGCGCTTCGCCGGTAATTCCCGAGGTGAGGTAATCTTTACCACCGTAACTGAATCCCTTGTCGATAAGAATCTGGGACATTTCCTCCACAGGACTGCCACCGAAACAAGTTCCGTACCCGTGCTGGCCCGCCAGGACACCAGCCTTTCCGGCGACGAGTTCCAGCATTTTCCCGACAGTCATTCGAGAAGGGAAACCGTGAGGGTTCATGATAATGTCAGGGTTGATTCCTTGATCTGTGAAAGGCATATCGGCCTGGTCGGCAATGATACCCACGACACCCTTTTGTCCGTGACGAGAAGAGAACTTGTCACCCACCTCGGGTCGACGGGTTTGGCGGGTAAGCACCTTGACGAGTTGGTTTTCGTTCTCTGTCGTGGAGACAAGAACTTGGTCAATATATGCAGGGTCGTGCAGCTTATATGTCATAGGTGTAGGCGTGTATTTGACTGGCCGACCTATCTCGGAGCCAGGAAACCCGGAGGCAAGAGATTGATCAGGAGTAGATTTGTTGATGTAGACTTCGCCAGCATTGACCTGCTCACCAACTGCAGCTAAACCATCGCTCTCAAGAAGAGCATGTTTCCGTATGGGTGCGTCATTGTCATACTCCGGTGGCATTAAGATGTCCTTGGTACCGTTGGAATAACTCTTCAAGTTGGCGACGGATTTCTTAAACACCTGGCAACGCCCGAAACCACGATCAACAGATCCCTTATTCAGAACTAAAGCATCCTCAATATCGTATCCAGAGTAACTCATTACTGCGACCATGGCATTGTGGCCGGCTGGTAGTTGATCGTATTTCGTCAGCTCAATAGTGCGAGACTTGACCATAGGCTTTTGCGGGTACACCATGAGATAGAGGATTGAATCAATGCGAAGGAATTGGTTGGATGCGATTGCGCCAATAGCTTGTTTACCCATAGCACATTGGTAAGTGTTACGTGGGGACTGATTGTGATGTGGGTAAGGAATCAGACCGGCGACAGCACCAAGAACGGTGAAGGGCTCGATTTCCAGATGAGTCGTAGCTTCAGTAATATCCTTTTCATAGATTGAGATCAACGAGTCATTCTCCTCGTTGACATCCAGGTACTCGACTAGACCTTGAGCAAGAAAGTCATCAAACGACATGGTCCCCTCGCGCAGTTTCTTCAAGTGATGCGCTCTAACCCTGGTCTTTCCGTTCTCGACAACGATAAGCGGGCGGCAGATTCGTCCATCATCGGTAGCAACATGGACAGCACGCTGGTGGTGATTGATATAGATACTGACAAACTCCGAAATTCTGCCCATTCGACGCAATCTCCGGAAAGCATCAAGGAAATACTTCGGGCGACGCGTCAATGCCATCGGTGTTCCGTTGATGGAGATGGTGTAGCAACCAGGGCCGTAAAGCTCCTTTCCGCCAAGCGTGGAGATATCTTCTGCGCCTAGCATGAAGATCAAGTTTCTTATCGGGCCTTCTTCGTCATTGGTCGTGATATGGGTCATAAGCGCCAAGTTTTTCACAAGACCACAAGCTTCACCTTCTGGTGTATCTGCGAGACAAAGCATGCCAAATTGAGACGGCTGTAGAGCTCTGGGACCACTGACCTTTCGGGTTTTCTCGAACTGACTGCTAATACGAGTCATCATACCCAGTGCCGCAATATAGCTCAGTCGACTGAGCACATGAGTAACACCAGCACGCTCCATACGGAAACGCTTCAAGCTCCAATTACCCGTCGAGATAGCACGATTCATACCTTGGGTGATATGGTTGCCGTGCATGCTCATAACAGTCCAGGCATCAAAAGCCTCAGCTCTGTTGCGTTTGTTTAAAACCTTGTCAACATTCATTTTGATATCAAAGCAAAACTTCTTGAAGAGATCCTCAAAAAGGAGGGCCAGTAGCTGACCAGCCAATTCCAATCTCTTGTTACCAAGGTAGTCACGATCATCTACCAGCGAGGGATCATTCTTAGCCATAAGAACACGACGCGCCATGTGAGCAACATAGACTGCCTTTGGTCGAAAGTTCATGTCTTTTACTTCAATATGGGATATTATAACGGATGCAATAGCTTCAACGGCTTCTTGCACATGGGTCCGGCGATAATTGTTTTGTTTGCCGCGGTTGATCTTAATTCGAGAGCCAATCCAGTCCAATGCTTGCTGCTGTGTGTAGATGCCAAGCTTAATGGCCTCCTCGAAATTGATCGCAAAGTCTTCCTGGTACACTTTATCAATACCAGCAACAAGAAGGAGCATCTCCTTGTCGGTGTGGATGCCCATTGCTTTCAGCAAGATAACGATAGGGATATCCTCGCTAAGCACGTTATGTTTCACGTAAAGCTTGTCCTTTTTTAGGACGATATAACTCTTAGATTTGCGCTCATTGGAGGAACTGTTGCCAGATGTTAGAAGCAAACAGGGAATAAATATTGGCGCATAATGAGCTTACCTAGTAACGGACGCCTGCACGATTTCCTTCTTCGGGTCCGTTTCAACGATAATTCTGTTCTTGCTCAACTGTTCTTGGACCAGAATAACCTTCTCTGTACCGTTCACAATGAAGTAACCACCAGGGTCCAAAGGACACTCATTCAACACAGTCATCTCTGCTGGGGTCTTATCGGACAAAACACACTTCGAGCTACGAAGCATGACCGGCATGCGGCCAATGGAATAGCCCGTCTTCTTCACACGTTGACGACCACGCACATATTCGAAATCAACTTGAATCGGGGCTGCGTATGTAGTATCACGAAGTCGGCATTCCTGGGGACTCACGGTCGACCCTGAAAATCCCGGGCCAGCATCTTGCTGTTCGTCTGCACGTCGTGGAGCTCCAAGATAAATGTCGGTAAACTTAATGTAGAAGTTGTGATCTATATCACTACGGATGATAGAGCTCGACTCAACGATCTTTTTCAACTGTACTTCCACGAGGTAGTTGTATGAGTCAATGTGCTGTTTGACCAACCCCTTCACCTTCAAGAAAGCTGGCAACAAATTCCATTTATCCTTGGCGGTATTGATCGGATCAGTCAAAGACTTGTTGTAATAGAAGGGCTCTAGGAGCGCATCGAAAGGATCGCGGTGGCGATATGGTACATGTGGGTGTTCATCGGCTTGGTTATTCTGCTCCTCGACGCTTGGCTCCGGCTGTGTAGGATTCGACGCCTGTTTCGACACGGATGGACGTTTCTGTGTCGCTGAAGGCCCTGCAGCTGCTCTTCTCGACGCTGTCGTAGCCTATACGGAGACCAGAAAATGTCAGTATGGACAGAGGATACAGTTATCAAGATGCGGAGAAGTATTTGCCGTACGTCTGCAGATCGCGCGGCAGGAGCCTGTGGCTTCCTACGAGGAGGCATTGCTGTTGTAGAAGAGAGGTCCACCAAGATAATATGCTAGGTAAGCTCTGCGTTAGTTTGACAGAGATGGGAGGTGTATCATGGTGGTTTGAATACGCGGCGCACAATTTCTTCGTTATCGGCGAGGGGAAAAGGTCCGAATAAATTATTAAATTAATTTCATTCAAAGCGGCGGTTTAGTAAGCAGAGCAGGGAACTGTCCCAAAATGGCTAGCTCCGCACCAAGCCGCTTATCTTATCACCCACATGCTCTAACTATATGTCCTCCATACATAAACTACATACTACATACATATGTACAGTAGTATACATTTACAGTTGAGTATAAGTTAGAATAATATTCGTTCAGTACTGAGAGCTCGATCTTAATCTATCATGAAGTCTGTCGGGTAATTGGTCGGATGATTTTGACAAAGGACTGTGACCCCAAGGACTTCGATTTAAAGGCCTCCTCAATCTCATCCAGGGACCTGCCCTTAGTTTCTGGCATGAAGATTGCACAGATCAGAGCAGTTATCAGCGTGCACCCTCCAAAGAGGAAGTACGCACCAAAGCTACTGCGAGATAACA